GCACACCATCTTGGGGAGGGGGAAAGAGAAGAAAGGGGAGAAAATTTAAAACTCAAAGTCTTATGATAGTGAATATTGAAAACGAAAAATAAATAAATTAGAGTGGGGGGGAGGGGCACAGCCAAGATGGCAGAGTAAAAGCAGTGACTTGCTTGAGCTCTCCCCCAAACCCCTTCAAATACCTCTCAAAAATGACTCTAAATAAATTCTAGAGCAGCAGAACCCACAAAAAGGCAGAGTAAAACACATTTCCATCTCAAGACAACCTGGACAGTCAATGGGAAAGTTCTGTTGTGCCAGGCTGGGAGAGGAACGCATTTCAGCATGGGCCGTGTAACAACCTGGAGCAGGCCTCAGGGGACTAAATCACTGATAGCTGTGGCAGTTTCCAGACTTCTCAACCCACAAATGCCAATGACAGCTTAGAAGGTCAGTAGGAAAGATCTGTTAGACCTGGGTGAGGGAAGCACTGTCCTGCCCCAGCCTTGGCGCAGCCCCAGGGCCACGGCTGCCTCAGGAGCTCTCAGCCCACCACAGTGAGGGGATCGAGTGGCTGATCAAAAAGGGATTGCAGGGATCTCTTTGCTGGCACTAAGACAGGATTCTCTTGCTTTGCCCATGTTTGGATCTGGGTCGCAGTCCTGGGGCAAAAAGAAACGCTGGAGTGGGGGTGCTTGTGACAGTGGTAGAGAAAGAATCCTCCTCACAGTTCCAAGGCAGAAAAGAGTGCTTGTGGTCACTCACAGACCACAGCATAGGCCAGGAAAAGAGCAAACACCTGTCCTTTGATTAGACCACTTTGGAAGAACCAAAAATTTACAGGTCCTTAGAAATATCTCTGAAAACAGCTGCACAAAACCCCTGAAGCTTGGGATAGTACACCCTTCACACTGGAAGCAGAGACCTACCTTAACAAAGGGTTAAAAAAAAAGTCAAGTAATTGGCTGGGAACATGAGCAAACAGAGAGAAAAAATTCAGACTACAGAATCTTACTTTGGTGACAAAGAAGATCAAGACATACAACCAGAAGAAGACAACAAAGTCAAAGCTCTTAACTCCAAAGCCTCCAAGAAAAATATGAATTAGTCGCAGGCCATAGAAGAGCTCAAAAAGGATTCTGAAAATCAAGTATGAGAAGCAGAGGAAAAATTGGGAAGAGAAATGAGAGTGATGCAAGAAAATTATAAAAAGTCAACAGCTTGCTAAAGGAAATAAAATAAAAACTTTAGAAAAAATGCCTTAAAAATAGACTAACTCAAATGGCAAAAGAGATCCAAAAAGCCAATGATGAGAAGAATGCCTTAAAAAGCAGAATTGACCAAATGGAAAGGGAGGTCCAAAAGCTCACTGAAGAAAATAATTCCTTAAAAATTAGAATGGAGCAAATGGAAGCTAATGACTCTATGAGAAACCAAGAAATTATAAAACAAAACAAAAAGAATGAAAAAATAAAAGACAATGTAAAATATCTCATTGGAAAACAACCGACCTGGAAAATAGATCCAGGGGAGATAACTTAAAAATTATTGGACTACTGAAAGCCATGATGAAAAAAAGAGCCTAGATATCATCTTTCAAGAAATTATCAAGGAAAACTGCCCTACTATTCTAGAACCAGAGGGTAAAACAGAAATGGAAAGAATACACTAATCGCCTCCTAAAGAGATCCCAAAAGGAAAACTCCTAGGAATATTATAGGCAAATTCCAGAGTTCCCAGATCAAGAAGAAAATAGTGCAAGCAGCCACAAAGAAACAATTCAAGTACTGTGGAAACACAATCAGGATAACACAAGATTTAGTAGCTTCTACATTAAGGGATGGAAGGGCTTGGAATATGATATTCCAGAGGTCGAACGAGCTAGGATTAAAATCAAGAATCACCTACTCGGCAAACCTGAGTATAATCCTTCAGGGGGAAAAAATGGAAATTCAATGAAATAGAGGACTTTCAAGCATTCTTGATGAAAAGACCAGAGCTGAATAGAAAAAAAAAATTTTTAATGGTTCTTAATTATTTCCTTCAATCTGATAAAAGCCAGTGGCAAAGTCGGGAGGAGCCGGTTGAACATCTACAATTTCTCTTATCTAGTTATCAGCATGTGTTAACAGGTAAGCAGTCCATTTTGTACACAGTAGAGAGGCTGAATAGAAAATCTGACTTTCAAATACAAGACTCAAGAGAAGCATGAAAAGATAAACAGGAAAGAGAAATCATAAGGGACTTATTAAAGTTGAACTGTTTACGTTCCTACATGGAAAGATGTATAACTCATGAGACCTTTTTCAGTATTAGGGTAGTTGGAGGGAATACAGACAGAGGGCACAGGGTGAGCTGAATATGAAGGGATGATATCTAAAAAATAAAATTAGGGGTAAGAGACAATTGTACTGAGAGGATGGAGGGAAATATAGTTAGGCTTTCACAACATGACCATTATGAAGTGTTTAGCATGACTACACATGTATAACCTATACTGAATTGCTTACCTTCTCAATGAGGGTAGGTGGGGAGGGAGGAATGGAGAGAATTTGGGGCTCAAAGTTTTAAAAACGAATGTTAAAAATTGTTTTTACATGCAACTGGGAAATAAGATATATGGGCAATGGGGTATAGGAATCTATCCTGCCCCACAGGAAAACAGAAGGGAAAGGGGACAAGAGAAGGGAAGGGGTGATAGAAGGGAGATTGGGGGAAGGGATGGATATTCAGAATGCACATCGTCTTGGGGTGGAGGGAGGAGATAGATGGGGAGAAAAATTGGAACTCAAAATCTTGTGGAAATGAATGTTGAAAACTAAAAATAAATTAATAAAAAGAGAAAAATAAATAATTTTTTTAAAAAAGGAAAAAAAATAAAAAATGGCCACCACAAAATTAGGGGACATGTTTTTGTCTCAACTAGAGAGACTGAGCAAAGGATAAACCATGGTAGATTAACAAGCTTTTTTTTTTTTTTAAACACCCCATGCTTCAGTTGGAATATGATATTCCAGAGGTCAAAATACTGAAATGTAGAAGGGATATCTGACCCAAGATGACTAAACTCCTGTGGTGGTGGTGGTGGTGATGAAATGAAGAAAATAAAATAAGAGGCAAAATAAAAAGACAGAATCCCAGATACACCCAACCAAACCTATAGAGATCTATAGACCTGTAGTAGTGAAAAGCATCCTTTTGTGGAGGAAGTCAAGTGACTAAATGTGGTTCAGGAAAAAGGTTCTTTCCCTTGGAAGACCCAGGTGATTTGTTTAGTGAAGCTTTTTATTAACAGCTCTCCTTTCCACTTCCCCAGCTTCCCAGGGAGACTGCATGGGGTTCGGCTGGATAAACTAGAGATTAAAAAGATGGAATGAAGAGCTCTTTCTATTACCCGCAGGCTTAAAATTCAACCAATAGGTAAATTGCTACTGTGTACTTCAGTTTCCTCAGCTATAAAACGTGATAATGGAGAAGGCAGACAGGAACAATTGAAAAGCAAATTTGCATTAATCTACAACAGAGGAGACTAACGATCCTAGCCAATAAAACATAATGAGTCGGGCAGGCATCTGCAACTACTTTGGACAGCTTTTAAGTGTGACTATATTGAAGAGGGGAAAGGAAGAGGAATAGAGGGGAAAGGAGGCAATAGAGTGTGGTAGTGGCCACAACTCTAATGGACTGCCTGGGAGAGTAAGGATTAGGAACTATGACAGGAGAGGAAGGTGGGTATTTTTTGGTTGTTTTCTGTATTGGGGAGTGGGAGAAGGGATGTCCCTTTCAGAGGTTGCCTACGTTCAGGCTAAATAAACCATCCCAACACCTTCTGGTACACATATCGCCAAATCCTGGGGGTAATAGCCACTTCCTTCTTAGCTTCCAAAGCAGTAGTGCCAACTTCGAAATCTTTTTCACAACAGTACCTCACCCACCTATAGAACTGTAAATTTTCAAAGCAATTTGACAAAGAGTACATCATCTTCTATCCCGGGAGGTAAACAGGCAGGAATGACTAAGAAGACATTATTTTCCCTTTCTGGGCGTAAATTTCCTCCCCTACTTCTAACAGGAGCCTCTGCGGTTCCTTCAGCCTTAGATCTGGGAAATCTATGGGTACCGATGAAAGATGCTAACCGAGGTAACCTTTAGGGCTAAAGAAAGGTGTTCCGTAGTCTCTTCGCCTGGGGTAAAACCACAGCTCTGGGAACCAGAGAAAAGCGCCAGCCTCCGGACCCCGACTTCGTGCCCAGCTACAATGTAACATTAGGATGCCTACCAAGAGCTGGGTCCACCTCGGAAGCGGAGCCCCGGGCCAGGAGAAGAGCTTAAGACACAAACACATCTTATCTGACCCAGAGGCAGAGGACCTGGGTTCCAATTCTATGCTGCCTAAAGGACTCTGGGTAACACTAACACCTCCGGACGTTCATAACGAGCTTTACAAACATCATCTCGCTGGAGACTCGCCACAGTCCTTGGAGCTTAATTAACTCTATGGGGCCTGAGGGAAGCCGCTTACCCTCCTCCTGTGGACTCAGTTTCCCCACCGGAAAGAAAGAGGAGGCTGAGAGGTCCCTCCCCTCCAGCTCTAGAGTTGGATGATCTCTAAGCGTTCCCCCCAATTCCCGGCCCCCAAGTGCGCGCGCAGAGCCGGTGAGCGGGGGCGGGGGGGAGGGGGTAGAGCAGGTGCGCACGCGCATTAGGTGCGTCTAGAAAGGCTGAGGGGGAGCGCGCCCGGGCCGCGGCGGGAGGGGGTCCCGGCCTCGCCTCGCCTCCTCGCTCGTTACCTGCACGCCGTGCACGATGTAAACCTTTTCCGCCTCGCTCAGCGCCACGGACGCCATGATGCCCCGTCCGGCCGCGCTTCGGCCCCCGCCGCCGCCTCCGAACCCTCCCCTAGGCGCTGGTCCGGACGTCGCGCTCTCCGCACGACTGTGGCGTCATCCGCCCGCGCCGGCCCCCGGGGGCCGCTCCCCTCTGCGTCATCAGCGAGCGGCGGCCGCTCCTGCCGCCGCCGCCGCCGCCGCCGCCCGCCCGGAGCCCGATGGGCTGCTCCTGCGCCCCGCCCCGGAGTCTGGGTGAGTCCCGGGATCCGCGGCCCCCGAGCCCGGGAGCGGCCGCGGCCCCCAGCGCGGAGGCGGGAGGGCGAGGGGGCGGCGACGGCAGCGCCGGGGACAGTTGGGGACGGACCGAGGGCAAGAGGGCGGCCCCGGCACCTGCCGGCCGACCGGCAAGGCTTTTCCGCTCCGAACTGGAGTTGGACTAAGTCCGCCGGAGCGAGCCGCAGCTGCCTCGGGAGCTGCGTGCTCCCCAGGTCCCGCTCACCCCTGCCCGCTCTTCCCCGTCCTCTGACTGTGTTTGTCCGGCTCTCGCTGCCTTCCCGTCCGGCACTCCTCTTCAGCTGCCCTTTCTCCCCTGCCACCTGCTGCCCCTCCCGGTCTCCATTATCACCCTCCCTTCCGGCTCCTCTGTTACTCTCTGCCTCTCCCTTTGCTCCTCTTTACCCCTGCCCCTCCCCCTCCCCATTGTCACCCTCATCCCTCCCCTTGCTCCCCTATTACCCCCTGCCCCTCCTTGTGCTCGCCTTTCTCCCTCGCCGGTCCCCTATTACTCCCTGCCCCTCCCTTTGTTCACCTTTCCCCCTCTCCCGCTCCATTATCATCCCTTGCCCCTCCCTTTGCTCTTCCCCCCCTCACCCCGTGCTCCTCGCCCACCACCCCTGGGTCCCTCTCTCTCCTGCCCCTCCCCTTGCTCCCCTTTTCTATTTGCCGCTTCCCCATCCTCCATCACTCTCTGTCTCTCGCCTTGCTCCCCTTTTCCCTGTTTTTCTCCTGGCTACCCTTCTGCCCTGCTTCTCTGCTCCCCTCTTCCCTTCCTTCACCTCCCCTAGCTGGGGGAAGCCGAAAGGATTCTGGACTTTGAGGAGATTCAAATCTCTGCACCAGTGTGACATTTGTTGGCTGTGTGACCATGAACAAATCACTTAACCTTTCCCAAAATGGGCTTCCTCATCTACAAAGTGGGAATAATAATACGGCTCTATCTCCCAAGATTCTTGAGTTGAAAGCCTTTCTAAACCTTTATGTAGGTGATTTTTTTTTCATTACCTAACAGAATTCTCTGCATGTTGTAAATGCTGAATAAAAACTTGATGGGTAGATAGGAGTCTTTAGTGGAGTTCCCAGAGATCTAGGATCATAGATTTAGAGCGAGTTGCAACCTCAGAAGTTGTTTAATCAGCCCACTCACTTTACAAATGAGGAAACCTATGCCCAGACAGGATAAGGGGCTTGTTCAGGGTTACACAGGTAGCAAGAAGTTGAATCCAGGTCCTCTCACTTCCAAATGCAGTCCTCTTTCCACTGTGCTGCACTGCTTCCTTGGTCCTCTGCTATTTGAACTTTTTAAAGTCAGTGACTTGGGTGAAGACAAACTTATGAAGTTTGTAAATGACACAAATAGCTAATTACAACAACAAATCTCAATATGACTTAATAGTGTTATATACATTGGCCAAAATAGCTAATGCCATATTGGTCTACCTTAAGGGAGACATGGTGTCCAGAACTAGGATGGTGCTAGTCCCACAGATTTCTTCTCATCATGTCAAGCCTGGATGTTATGTTCTGTTTGAGTTGCTGCTATTTAGGAAGGGCATTGACAAGACAGTTTACAGAGGAGGCCAACTAGGTAAAAGGCCAAGGATGTAAGAATGAGGGAGAGAGAAGGACCAGTGCCACATGATGACCATCTTCAACTGACCGGCTGTCATGTGGAGGAGTGCAGAACTGGGATGGGGGAGTGGGGGGGGGCGTAGATTATGGTAGAATGATAATGGCCTCTGAAGTCCCTTCCAACTCTGTGCTTCCTGGCCTGAGTAACGAATACTCCCATCCATCTGAAACTCTTTTGCCCAGGCTTCCCTCCCCCACCCCCATGCTTTGACCCTGCTTCTCTTCCCTTCTCACCACCTCAATCTGATAAAATGGGTGGGGACGTCCTCTGCCTCGGTTCAGAGATTTCAGGGGAGAATGGTTTGTAGAAGGAACTAGGGAATACTTCCTTGCTTGCAGCTCACTTCCTGGTCTTTCTGTGAGGCAACTGGTGGTGGGAGGGGACAGCTGTGAGTGGAAGAGCCCTTCCTGATAGACATGCTGCCCAGTAGGAGGCTGCTGCCCATGGTCTGCTTGGAGGCAGGGGAAGGTTGTGGAGGGCAAATAGAATCTGGCCATACCATGTGAGCTATGGTGGGCACCAGCAGCACTTCCTGAAAGCCTGGTGATTGCCTGTCTTCAGAGGAAGGGCTATAGAAAGAATGTTGAGAAGGAAGCTTCTGAAGACCCAGAGCCAGTCAAGGAGAGGGTGAGGAGGCCCAGCTGCAGCAGAAAGCTGGAGCCACAGCCACTAGCCATCAAGCAGGCCTCTTAATTCCAGCATTTCTTTGGGTAGGTGATAAGCTTTAGGCAGTCGTCCAAGGAGAAAAGAGCTCTGGCTTTACTGCCCTGTGGTGGTTGAGGCGGGCATTGTCTTTGAAATGCATAATACCTGCAAGGTAAGGCTAGGATCACCCTGGGAATCCATTTTTCTTAGTGGTCAAGACTGGGCAGAAGAAGTTTTAAAAGATATTTGTGGAAAGAAAAAGTGGATTTTAAAGAGCTATTATGGAAAAAGAGGAGAGTTTTAGTAACTCATACTCTCAAGAAATCCCCTTTTTTCTCCAAAGTAAAATGACCCTTTTCCCCAAACCTTTTCAGTATGAAAAGCTCCCCAATAAAACATCTCATGTGTCTGTGTACTGCTATCTTGACATTTTTAATCACCTGTGAAAGCACTGAGAACCGCCCCCCCCCCACCCCAAGCACTCGGTAGATTTTTTGTTAATATTTGATCATCCGCAAGGCTCAGTATCAGTAAACTGGGGAGAAAGATACATTGTTCTTTACCATGTAAGACTTTTCGCTACTGGAAGAGGAGAGAGACGGCATCATTCTCCCCGTTCCCCTTTCCCCTTATACAAAGTGGATGTGCATGTGCCCCTATCGGTATTGATTTTGTAGTCAAATGACCTGAAATTCAATCCAGGCAGCACTACTTCAAGTGATGTGACCTTTGCTGCAAGTTACTTAGCTTCACTGTGGTTTAGTTTCCTCATCTGTAAAATGAGTGAGTGGGAGTAGATCAGCCAGTCAGTTGATAGCCTACTGTGCGCCAGGCATTGTACTAAGAGATGGGGGTGCAAAGAATGGCAAAAGACAGTTCCTGTCCTCGAGGACGCCGAAGTCTGATGGGGGAGACAACATACACATGACAATGTACAAAAAAGGTCAGTACCGGATGAATGAGAAATGGTCACCATGCTGCAGGGGTGTAGGGGTATGTTTTGTACAGAGATTATGTTGCATTGAAAGACTAAAGAAAACTTGCATAGTTAGGGTGACATGAGACTGGATTTTAGGAACAGAGGATGGATATATGGTACAGAGGAAGTGGGAGTGTCTGAAAGTAAGATTTTCATAGCTGGGATGTCTGCTGGATTGGAGGTGGAAGAAAAGGCCAGTTCAAGAAATGGCACGTAGGGAGAGAGGAATGCATTTAGAGACTCATCTTTAGGCAAACACATTCTTAACCTAGATTCAAACTTTTAAAAATTTATCTATATTTTGCTAACCGCATTATAGTACAATTAGTTTCTTTTATAATGCTATGTATTTTATTTTCTATATTTAAAAATGTTGTTCTGACCAAGTGGGACCGTATACTTCACCAAACTGATAGAATGGGGATCCAAGACCCCCTAAAAAGGTGACAGATTCCTTCTTTAGAGCACAGGTGTCAAATATGTAGCCTCATGCAGCCTACAACACTCCCCAAGCGTAGCCCAAACCAGATTAAAGTATAATTGGGAAATATTAAGCACAATGAATAAAAATACAATAAAAACATGTGGCCTGAAGAAATCCTTATGTGTAGTTTAGTGGCCCCTGTTTCTGTTTGTTTGATACCACTGCTTTAAAGGAAATCTTTTAGCATGTTATAATTATGCCTTTAAAATATATGGGCCACCAAAAGAATATGATATAGTACTTTCTGGGCAGCTTGATCAGGCTGTCTCAGATGTTGACATTTTACAACAATTTGTTGGATTTACTTCAGTGGATCCATGACTTTATCCTCAGCTTGTTCTTCCAGTTGTGAAGATTGTTGCCACCCCTGCCTGCCTGCCCTTCATGTCCACATAAGCTTGTCACGGGGAGTCCACCTTACATTGTGGGAGTCTTACCGGAAGATTTAAGGCTGGAAGGGACCGTAGAAGTCATCTAGTCCAATCTTACTGTTTTTACAGTTGAAGAAACTGAAGCTTCAGCAGGGTAAATGATTTGCCTAAGGGATTCAGACCAAGGGGCTTATTCCTTAGTCCCACCATGTGACCAGCTCATCTTTTTTCATCATATATTTTTTTAATGACATTCTTTGCCCTGCTTCTAAGTGATGCTTTGTTGTTGTGTTTTAATAAGTTTTTATTGATGTCTTCTGGTTTGTTTGTTTTTGTTTTTGTTTTTATATCTTCTCATTTATCACTGGTATCCCTTCCCTTCCCAGAGAGCCACCCCATATAACAAATTGTATTTGTTTAAAGAGGAAAAAAAAGTCAGTCTAATTGATTGGTATATTGTCAAAGTCTGAAAGCATGTGCAATGGACCCCCCCCTCTTTCACAAAGGGCTGGGTTGAGGGTCTCCTCATCTCTTCTGTTCACTTTTGATTTTTCTTGTGTGCTGTTCTTTCCATTTACATTTTTGTAGTTATTGTGTACCTTGTTTTCTTGGCTCTGCCTACTTCCCTCTGTACCAGTTCATTTTGGTCTTTCCATGCTTCACTATATATCGCATACATGATTTTTGACCGCAAAGTAATATTCCACTACATTTGTGTGCCACAGTTTGTTTAACCATTCAATAATTGATGGGCAATCTACTTTATTTTCGTTTCTTTGCTTTCACAAAAAGTGCTGCTATAAATATTTTGGTGTATATGGGGGCTGTTTTCTTATTGATGGCTTCCTTGGAGAATAAGCCTGG